TTTCCCTTAATCCCAGTTTGGAATATGGTAGAAAGCATAGTTTAAAAAAAAAAAAAAGAGAGATTGGGGTGATAAGCCCTCTAAGCATGACTAAAAACTTGTCTCTCCCATTTCTACTAAAAATTAAATGCTCCAGGAATTTTGGCAGTCACTGAAGAAAGATTAACAACTCCCCCTCAATCTTAGGCCTGTGCGTCTTTTTTGGCTTCAGTCATTCTGATTTACTGTTGTGCAGATCAGACTCAGCAGTGAGTTAAGGTAAAACAACTGCCAAAACACTTGCTGATAATCTAAAATAACAAGTGTCTGAAGCCCCTAGCAAGCAGTGAAAGCTCCATCCCCTGCTCCAGAGTTGTATCCTTTCTGCACTAAATGATGCACATTTAAACTGGGTAAGTTTTTTCTGCCTGAAGAGTTTACCTGTGACTATGTTAGACAACTAAATCTGTTCTTGGGAAGAAATTGAAATACCTTTTCAGGCTCAAAAATACAGATAAACTGAATCAGAATTAAAAATACAAACTAACTTAGAAATATCAGAAGACAATTTTGAGCATTGAATGATTTTTTTTGTTTTCAATTGGTCCTTCTTAAAGAGGGTACCCCAGTGTGCCTGTATTTTTTTCTTGGTTGTTGCCAGCAGAGCATTGCTTTTGTAAATGCTGAGGCCTGAGGTAGTGATTCCTCTTAACAAACTGTTCTTCTGATACTACTGAGTGTCCTGCAATTTTCTTCTTAGGCTTTTTGGTTGATTTGTTTGTTTTGGGGGTTTTTTGTTGGTTTTTTTTTTGGGGGGGGGGGGGGTGGGGTTTTTTGTTTGTTTGTTTGGGGTTTTTTTGTTGTTGTTGTTCTAAATCAAATTTCTTCTGTGTATTACCTCCTTTTTGTCTCTTCTGTTTTCATATTGTTTTGTTTAAACGAAATCGTGTGCACAAAATGCTGCTCTCTGTCTTTACATGCTTCACATCTGTAACTCCCACACTACAGGAATTTGCCCAGTATGGGGCATTTGTTTTAGGGATGGAAGGGTGGGGCAGAGGGAGAGAGGGATACGTGTGCTATCTGGCTGCATGATATAAAATCATGAAGGAAGTGTTGCACAGGCTCTGTTACTTGTTACACCTACAGTGTGTACTGGTTTGCATGTGTGGGGGGATATAATTTGCCTAGTCCTCTTCCACTACTGCATGGGAGGAGATAGGGGAGACAGAGGAAGACTAACAGGTTTTATTTGGATATCTTAATAAATTTGTTTGCTGAGATCATATGTATGATTTTTGTATACTTAATGTTCCTCCCCCTAAAATCTCTGGGTCCTTTTCTGCCACATTGCTGCAATGTAGCTTTAACAGTATGCAGTGGTGATTTATTGTAATACACTACTGAAATCTCCATTTGTAAATAATCCAGGCTGCTGCTGTGTAAGTAGCTGATGAAATGTCTTTACTGGGTCTGCCGTGTATGAAAGAAACCACAACATTAGGCAATAAAAACTACTAACAGAATGTTACGAAACCAAGACCGTGACAAAAAAAGCAGCATGTTGTGGATCTATCATTTTTATTCTTGGGACAGATTTTATTATTTTTGGAACTATTACAAGACTTATGTTAAATATTGTGGATGATAAAAGGAAACAGACTCTTGGCAAACATGGAAAACCAATTACAGCATATTACCCTATTCCCCTTCCAATAAAGGAGGGGCAAAGCTAAAAGTTTATTCTTTGCTTAGCAGCTGGAGGGGGGGTGGGGGGGGAGATTGTTGCTGCTTTAGCATTGGCTTGAGGAAAGAGATTGTTGCTGTAGCAGTCTTACCGCAGGCAATCCAAGGTGGAAAAGGCAAACCCAGTGTGCTCCACAGTCAGTTACAGCCCAGCCTGAAAAAGCACACTGTTACGAGAGTGCTGAGTAAAGAAATGGCTATTCTGTACCATCAGGTATACTGTTCAGTTAAAAATAAATTTTAAAAAGTTGTGTTTGGGTGCAGATCTTTGTGCTGTGGTGGTAGGCATTTGACTCATACAAACTGGAACACATATCTGATACTTAGACATGGGATTTAACTGCAACATTCCATGGCTCTGTGACATAGAGGTGAAATAAGGTATAGGAAAAACCTACTTCAAAGTTTATTTAGAAGTCTGCACATCCATTTGTATCTCGCTCCCAAATTACAGTTCTTGTAAAATTGTCCATGGCAGCATGAATGTGGACAAATCGGTGCATCAGTATGTTTGTTGGAGTTCCCTCTCCCCACCCCTCCAGCATAGTTATAATTTTTAGAATTCCTTCATTAAAGAGTCAAAGATATAAATGTTTATATTGGGCAGACTCTGGTTGATGGTTGGGTCTGTGGTACATTTGCTGTAAATTACAGCAGGATCTAATTAGCCTTTCTTAAGTGAAGCCCAATTCCATTACTTTTCCTAGATTTAGACATAAAATACTAGGAGGCAAAAAATCTTATAGTGTGAAGACTGTTCAAAAGAGATCAATGAACTATGCTAACAATTGTCAATTTAACCTTGTCTGGGTTAAAGCAGTCAAGTAAACACTGCTTGTTCTGATTATGGCATGGGAAAACATTTTCAGACCCAGGAAATATCTGAAAGAATGTGACTTTAAAAACAGCTAAACAGCAAGGATACTTGGGAAGACAGCAGTCCGTGGGCTTGCTTGCTGTCTCTCCAGATGAGGCAGGGCAGGCTGTCAGTTCGAGGCATTGCCCAGCACCTGAGCACTGGCACCCACACCTGGGCCAGTGTTGCTACTTGAGGACTGGACCAGCTGTGAGGAAGGAACTTTTAAATATGGACATCGTTGACAGGTGCACATTTGACAGCACTAAGACTGGAGCTGAGGCAGCGTCCAGAATTTGTAGGACATTTGTGGAATGAACGGTTGGTTTTTAGGAGGAGGGATGGGTACAGAGACAGCGGCAGAGGAGATGGGCAAATTTATTTGTCAGCTGTTGGCTCAAAAAAAAACCCTGAATCAGTGTACAAGACTTGTCTGTGATTGTTGTATACAAATGCAGCAAAGCTTTGTCTTGAATGTAGTTAGAAACAGATTGTCCTTATGGGTTTTTTTAATCCCATTTTAATTTATGAGGATGACTAGACTTTGGGTTGCTGGTTAGTGTCATGTCTAAAGTACTTAAGATGGAGAGTATCAGAACACAAAAGAATTCATGTGTGTGGTATCCTTGAGAGTCAGTTCAGCCACTCCTAAGCAAAAGGTGACTGACTGACCTAAGCAAACTGGTCACCGATGAAGGTCTGTCAGCTGTCAGTGGTGCACAAAAATCAGTGGATGGGCTCTGCTGCTCCTCCTTACCCAGTGTTGTTCAACTTTTATCTCAGAATTAAAACATCCCTGCACAGAAACAAAAGCACTTGTGGCATCTCTCATAGTTACTGCTTTGAAGCAGAAATTAAGTTTGTGAACTCATGTGCAATATTGTAATTCTGTCTGGGAAATTTTTCTAAAAAGCCACATAACTCCAGAGAAAGAGGCATCCTCATGTGCAGGACTGACCACTGTGCATCATAAATTAAGTGCTTTGGCTTTTCTCTGGGTTCCTATCCAAGTCCAATTCTATTTTCTTTCCCGCTTACTTCTCTTCCTTTTTGTTACTTCTACCGTTTTCTTTCCTTCTTGGGGTTGGGTGTCTGTTTAAAGGAAATTATTCAAGAAAGAATAGCATATTTACAGTTCCCTATTCTTCTGGAAGACCTGTATTAACTATCGCTGGTAAAACAGAACACTTTCATCTACTTTGGACAAAGTTATGATTGGTTTTAACAATGTCACTATGTAGATTTAGAGACATGGTTGGTCACAGACCCACCTGTTTAACTGCTAAATCCTGGTTCCTGGATCATCCACCAGTAGTAGAAGGCTTCAGTAGGATCACAGAAGAAAAAATGCAGTTGCCTGTTAGTCATATTTTTGGCCAAGTACCATCTGAATGGTGGGGGTTTGTTTGGTTTGGGCTTTGTTTTGGAGGTGTGTGGAAGTTCATTTCATCCTGCTTTCCAGTTTAATTCAATTGCTATGCAAGATGAAAAGCAACTTTCCTTCAATGAGCTCTGAAAGTTGTGGGGTTGTTGCTCAACCAATCGAAAAGAGGATCCATTAGAGGAGAAGCCTCTAGTGAAACTGCTGCTTTGTGAGCCAAGACGTCGGCTTGCTGCAGGAAGGAGGAGACGGCTCATTATCTGGGTGCTGGGAGCCAGCGTGTTGGAGTCTCCTCTTCCTGCTCCACAAGGACTGAGGCGTCTCTGAGGTAAGCAAAGCAGCAATGCGATACTCCCTAGGCTTATCAACCACTATCAGCTGGATCTCCGGTTTGGTCCAGACTCCACCTTTACTTGGAAAGTGCTTGCAATTCCATGAGGTAATTCCTCCTCCCAGCGCTGTTACTACGACCATGTGCTCCTAGCGTGAACCAGGACAGAAAATGAAAAAAGCCTACCCCGACCTCCCTGTGCCCTAACTTCCTCTTTCCCCATCCTGCCGGGGACGGCTGTTGGGCTTCGCGTGCTTTGGTTCGAACCATCGCGGCAGCGGTCGGTCCGGCCGGGAGGGAGAGAGGGTAAAGCAGCGCTGGCCGGGCAGAGCCCTCGCCCTCTCGCCGGCCCAGCAGCCCCGGGCACCGGAGGCCGTCGCTCCCCGGCCGCCCCACGCCGGCTTAGCCACAGGTGCGAGGTAACACCTGCTCAGCTGGCACCGGGGCCGGTATAAATCTGCGTTATTTTGATTAAGCTCGGATTGATTAGGAACAGGTCCGGGCTAACATACCATAAACACCTATTAAACCGAAATAAATACGTCTACAGGGGGCTTAGCTTAAACGGGTGCAGCTTTGCCTGCACGGGGGGCGCGGAGGTGGCGGCGGGCACCGCACACGGCGCTCCCCACGGAGCGCGGCCCCGACGGGTCTCGGCACACGGCGCCGGTGCGGTGACCGATGGCGGTGACCGATGGCGGTGGCCGATGGCGGTGACCGATGGCGGCGGGCGGGCGCCGCCGGGGCAGGAAAGCCCGTCCGAGCTGACGTCGCTGCGCGGGGGTGGCCGCGCTGTCGCCGCGGGAGGGGCGGGACGGAGTTCCCCATGGGAGGCGGTGAGAAGCGCACCGGGCCGGTGGCTCCCGCGGAGCCCTGTCCCGGGGGACGGTGTTGATCCGTCGCCACGGCAACCTCCGACCCGCGGGGGGAGGGGGCGCAGGTAGAGGGCGGCGGTGGCGGGGTCGGTCCCGCCATCTCCACGGGGCTCCCCCCGTCGCCCCGGGAGGCGCCCGGCTCGATCTTCCCTGCGAGGCGGCCCCACGAGGGGGGCGCGCCTCTGGGCCCCTCTCCATCCCGGCCCGATCCTGAGGCGGCGTCCCGGGGCTCCCTGCGCGTCCCTGGGGACACGGAACGGCGGCGGGAGGGGCGGGGTGCGAGCTTGTGTGAGCGGAGCCCCTCAGGAGGGAGAGGGCTCGGTTCTCCTGCCCCGCTGCGGCCCGGGGATTAGAGCCGCAAAGCAGCGGGACCTTTCGAAGGAGCGAAGCCCTCCCGGAGCGGGAGCGCGCAAAAGCGCGGGGAGCCCGCCCCGCCCGGCGGACAGGGATGCGGGATACGCGGCGTCCCGTTCCCGGAAAGAACAATGGCCGTGCGGAAGCCAGGCCGCTTCTCCAGCCCACCCGGGGCTTCCCTCCGGGATGCGTTTGCCTGCTCGACCTCCGCCCTCGCAGGCGGCCGCGTCCTCCCCTCGCCGCCCGCGTGTGGAGCCGCACCATTGTGAGGCTGCACGGAAGCGTGGGAGGGGTGACTGCATGAGGAAAAGCATTCCCTGCCACCAGGCAATGGGGTTTTGTGTCACTCCAAGGGCAGCCCGGCCTGTCGCTCCTCCCTGACCCTGCAGAATCTGCCTGCAGCCCTTCCCCGAGTTCCTCCTCTGACCTAGCTCCAGCTGGAGCGCTGATGACCCGCGTGTTGTGGTACCGAGCCGGCTCTGAGCCCAGTTAATAACTGTAAACACAGCACGTAACTCTTCTGCTTAGAAAAATAATAGGAAAACTGATGGGTTTAACTTCCTTCACTGCATATTGTTATTTATAGTGCGATCCACAATAATTCCAACCTTTACGTTAAGAAGTTACTGAAGTGGAGGAAGAATAAATTCTTTCACTTTATTTTCGTACTTGGCAAAACGAAGGTGAGAAAAGAAGCAACGAAAGTAAATATTTTGATCTTTAAGTGGTTAGACAATATAATTTTTATGCCTGTAAATTTTTTTCACAACATGAGCAACAAATCAATATTTTTACTGTCACCTGTTTTACTTGCAAATGCAGCACAAATTGCTCTGGATTGTATGCCCCTGTGCATTCCTTCTGTACAGGCATTGGCTTTAATTTTAGTATAAGTTAGACTGGCTTCATTAGAGAAAATGGAAATTCCTTATAAAGTCAACTTTTCCTTAACTGAAATCTTCTGTGGATGATTCAGTACTGAATGTGATGATTAGACAACAAATTTTATGGTGCAAAGGCAAAACAAAATGGGATTTTTCCTCTAAATCTTACAACTCAACAAAATACTTAAAAGTTGACAGCAGGTATATCTGGTATTTAGCTGATTGAATGCTTCAGTTTTAATTTGCTTTTTGGGCAGATAAGAGTACACCACAAACATGCCTGGACATTTGGCCCTTCTGAGCAGTTTGCCATTGAGGAGGCGGATAACTAAACTGTAAATGCCAAAATAACAATTTCAACACTCACAGATGAACACCTCTTCCTTTTTGACATCCCTAATTTAGGTGGGTTTAAATAAATGGAAAAACATATTTTATGCACTGCATGTTTTTATGTACATACTAATAGAGAGTATACATTGAAATACTATTTAATAGAAAGACAAGCAGAATCTGAAAAGCACATAAGCCTAATTGATTCCAGACACAACTGGCCTGGATTTTGTTTCCTCTTATTCCAACTTTCTGACCTTGTAAAAATTATCTTGATTGTGTTATACTAAAGCAAGGCCATGATCTTGCAAAAACTACCATGTGTGCTGGAGCTGAGAGGTGCCCAGCAAAGCGCTGCGTACAGAACGAATGCTGACAGCGTTAGGCCCCAGCGCTGCCTGGTTTGTTTTCCCTTGCTTATATCTAATCATGGTGAAGCAATAGTCTCACTTCTGCTGAAAGCTGGAGCTGCTTTTTCATTTTTAAAGGGGGTGAAAAACGTGTAATGAAACTTACGATTTTTGGTGAATGATAGGTTTAAAATTCTCAGAGCAGTTTAAGCTGCTGGGATTTTATGGCATTTAGACCAGGGGAAAGAACAGGGAGGGTTTAAAAACACGTGTTGCCTGTAATTTTTTTTTTCAGTTGTGTGTGCGTATTTCTGGTGGTATCTCTGTTTTTCAGAAGATTGTTTCTAGGTATTGGTAGGAGGGTTGAAGGACTTACTGGCTTTGATGATAACCCTTACAATGCCATTGTGCTTCTGTATAAACATGCATGGAAGACCCAAGACAGCAGAGTGTTCAATGTGCTGCTGTCTTTGGCACTGGAGAACTTCTAATAATATTTTCTACTTGAAAAAAATCCAAGGCCTGGGTACACTGATCCCTTTATTACAATAACTGCTGTTGCTCCTTCTCTTTGGGAATCTGTGTCTTGCTAGCCTTAAATCTCTGTGGAGGGTAGTGACAAAGAAAGGTCTTTCCAGCATATTGAACTGATGATCCCTCTCCTTATTTCTCTGAAGGCTCTCCTTTTTTCTGGATCAAGAATAAACTGTGTATTTGGGCCTTTGTCAGCAATGTTCCCATGGGACAGTCATTGAAAGCACTGGGATTGCCTGTTTAGTAGCAGGGAGGCTTATAAAAAGCAACTCCATGTGGAAGTGGGCCTTTTCCTGCTCCTCCCTTCATCCTGCTGCAATTCCCTTTCACCCAAGCCCTAAGAACTGCCTGCCATTCAGACTAAGGTACAAAACTAAGAGAGTTGTACTACCTTGACTGAGATATTAAGTGTCTGCCTTCACTTATGTTGATTTGATAATGTTCTGGGGAGCTTTGTTGTATATAATGTACTGTGTCAACTTCTGGTGGTTGTACAACAGCAAATATAACTCAAAAAGCTAAACCTACCCCTGAAGAAAGCAAGCAGCTTTTATGCATCATGAAGCTTGGTTTCCAGGAAGTTTGCATCAACATGACTGCCATCACATTTGGGATTTTTTAGCTACCATGTCAACGTTTCTTGTTTCCCAACAGATTGCAAGGTGGACATGGTGTGTGGTTTGTTACTTATTAAATAAAAAAGCCTGAGAGCATGTGCAGTGTTCTGACTCAAAAGTCATGTTAGTAACCTGCTACACCAAAGATGAATGTTCGTGCCAGCGCTGCATCTGTTATCTTTATCTTTTAGCAACTACTTTACAGCTTTTCTGTTAAGTTATAGACAAGCTCCAGGTAAAAACCTGCTGCCTTGGAAGCTGTGATACAATCTGTGCACTCAGTGTGGAATATTCGGCGTGTTCTGACTTGTGTTTTTTAAGAGAGAAAACAATTGGTCCATTGCTGCTGAGCTGTGCTGCTCCATGCAGTGCTGCCAAAGTGGGCAGCCTTTGGAGTGGGACCTGTGGCATTACAGATGTGCCTGAAATCCCCTCCCTTCTCAGCCACCACCGGGTGAAGGCACAAAATCTTCCCACCTTAACTGAAACAAGGTTCTGTTCATCAGAGTGTACCAGCAAATACAATGATTGTGTAAGTTGCCTGTCATACGCAAAGTATAAACAAACCTGTGCACAAGAGAGGTGAGTTTCTGGCCAGCTTTCAGGGGAGTTCCCTCAGTGCTGCAGAGCCAAAGTGTCCCTCTTAAGGGATAAAACAAATGTGGGATATTTAGGCAAAACAGAAACAGAAAACATGCAGAATGATGCTTTTAACACTGACCTGGAGCTCCAGCTTTATTTCTGGCACATCAGAGAACACCTCTGCTTTCAAATCATATCACTACGAGTGATGAGTATGCAGCACCTCATGGAGTCAGATCTTACGTGTCTCCTATGAAGTGAAATATTCCTTTACTTGTGAGTTGGTATTGCCAGAGTACCTTTTGTTTAAAGGTTCAATTAATGGTGTATTCTATTAAATACTTTGCTGATTAGAAGGGTTTTTATTACAATGAAGGTGGTGAAGTACTGGCACAAGTTGCCCAGAGGTGGTCGACGCCCCATCCCTGGAAACATTCAAGGTCAGGTTGGACTGGGCTGTGAGCAACCTGATTGAGTTGAAGATGTCCCTGGACATTGCAGGTGGTTGGACCAGACGGCTCTTTGTAGTCTCTTCTGACACAAACTATTCATTAGTGCTGTGATCAAACTCTGTCTAGCCAATCAGTGTTTCTTTCCTTGCAGTGAACTGCTCCACTGATGATACATGTTTGTCTGGGCTGTGAGGAACTGATGAAGATCGTACAAATATGTTTAAGTTCTTACACACTTGCTGAATATATCTTACACTTTCTAAATGTCCCTATACCCACAATAATTAATGTGTGAGTGCATTCTCCTTTCCCCCCAAACTGTGTTTTTTCCATAACTAAGTATTGATTAATATTTAAATTTTTGTCCCTTAAATTGTTTTGTGTTAGTGAAATGAAGACCACAGCTGGCACCTTTGCTACTCTGTAACAAAAAAAAACCATTTCCATAAGCTTTGGACTTAACTGTGAATGAGACTGTTTTATCAGCTTCACAATGTATGAGACTGATCTCTCAGAGCTGGGTGTGAAATAGCAGAAGGAACAATTTATTATACTTTTTTTCCCATATAAACATACAATGGTTTTATTTATGTCTCTATATCCTTCTGAAACCAAATTTTCCATGCACGCCATTTTAGAGAGAGAAAGGACAAGACAGAGGAGGAAAGAGACAGGAGAGATGTCACAAATTACTCTGCTATAAGGCACCAGGATAGTCCCATGATTAAGCCAGTGTACAAAAAGACAAAGAATAAACTGAACGGGTGTAATGCAGAGTATGTTTGTGAAATGTCTCAATTGCACCAAGCTAGGAGGACAGTGACCACTGTAGATGATCAGTATAGAAATCAAAATGAACTTCATATAGGAAAAATCATCAGTTTCATGGAGAAGTCAGGGTAGATGGTTATAGGGAGTTTGTAGAGCATCACTAACAAAATTGCAGTGGATGATGCAGTGCTCCTGCAAAATGCTCTCTTAGGATTTATCAATAGGTGGCATATGTAAGTCAGCAAGAACAATGTAAAGATGACTCCACTGAGTTCCCAACTGCCACATGGTCCTTGGTTCCATGGTCTGCGCAGAAAAATAAAGTACAGAACAGGGAGAGAAAGCAAATAGGAGATGTAGAATACAAAAGGAAGTGGTGAAAGAAGGAAGGACATTGAGTCTTAAAAATAACTTTTAGAGGAAGGACATTGAGTCTTTAAAATAAATTTTCCAATGTGTAAAAGATTAGAAGAGGTTTGATCAATTGTTTTTGAATGCTGGTGAAATTCCAGAACAAGCTACCTAGGAAGTTCGGTCTCTGCTCCACAGAAGATTGCTAAGAACAGGTTAGACAAACATCTGTTGGGGATTGTCTGGGGCTACTTTATCCTATCTTTGTGCAGCTTGGGGGGACCAGATGGTCTCTTCAGATCCCTCTCAACCCGCTTCCTATAAGTTTGCCAAGTGGGGAGGGGAGTGGACCTGAGTTTAATGAGAAAAAGGTATCATCCTGTTAATTGATCCTCTTTAAGAATAGAAGAATCAGAAAGAAACCACATTTAACTTAACTATATAAGTAAATGGATTTTTCAATTATTGTAGACTTGCAGTTTTATGAAGCATTTAGAAAAACAAACACATGGTTATAGAAAAAGGTTTTAAAAAGTTATAAAACAGTTACAAAACGGAACAATTTTAAATGCATTTTTTTTCTCAATTAACATAAGTAGGAAAAACAGTTTATAAGTATTTTTCAAGGATAGTTTGTAGATATTTTTCGAGGATATTATAAGTTTGTGTTTGGCCATAGGTTTTACATTGCTTCCCATTTCAAAACAAGCAATGACAACATCTGTAGTTACATCCAAGGATGTCACACCTAGGTGCTCCTTGCATATGCAAACCCAGGAAAAAATGATGAGAAATCACTCTTGCGTCCAAGTCCACAGAAGGAACATTTTATTCAGTACCTGCTCTGAAAAATCTGTCAGGAAGGACAGACGACTGGAAATGTGAACGTCAGTGCCTTGCCTCCTCGGCAGGTGAACTCTGTGACTGCGGCAGCGTTTCCTCCCTCCCTCCCTCCCTGCCTGTGCATTGGGAAGTTCCAGTGAAATATTGCTGCTGTGGAAAGTCCTGTTCACAGCAAGGAGACGTGACCTCTCAGCGAGTCAGATCCAATTTTACGGGCGGCTCTGAGTCAGGGTGGAGCCCGCGCACTGAACTTTGTATTTCAGGAGGAAGTGATGTTGGTGGCAGCCCGTGTTGCTAAGCAGATGAGTTGCTGTGTTTATAGTTCAGCTGATACTTTGGGCAGGGGTGTGACTTCATTCTTAGATACGATGTCTTGCATTTATTAAGGACAAAGGTCAGGAATTGCCAGTGCTGCGATAGCTGTGTCTCTCCATATAAGAAGTGGCACATTCTGCTGAGCCGTCAAAGATGGAAATGGGAGTCCTTAGTGCTGCTTCTGCACATTAGTGAAAACAAAACCGACCATGAAGCTGTCAGTTCATGTCATGGTCCAAGAACAAACGTTCTCACCAGCAGGGATGATGTAGAGTAGGTCAGTTGTGTGGGATTTCCCTATTTTTATAAGAATCCACTACTGTTCCTGATTAAAGAGGTGGCCTGGTCTTGTCTCCAGTAGTAGTTGGAACCAGGAGCCTGAGGTGAGCAGTCAAGCACTGGCCTGTTAGATCAGACTTTAAATAGAAACCAAAGTGCTCCTGCCTCATACACCAGCAAGCTAAGTGATGAGTCTGTTTGGGAGGGACAGTGAGTTGTTTGTCACCTCTCTGCCACTGGCACTTGGGTGGGTGCTGCCTTCCAGGTATCCAGATCATCACAGGTAAGTGGCAGTACCTGGGCAGCATTTTGGAGAGACTGAGTGGGACAGTACAGACAGGCTGGGGACAGCTGCCCACAGCTGTGTGTGCACCCACGCCACCCACAGTGACGGGTCAGTGTGCTGTGTCAGACAGCCTTTTCACCTATTCCCCCCTAAAAGTCTTTGGTTATGTCCTTAAGTTAGCCTTGAGGGAGCTGTATGTTGTTATGCGAGAGATAATGCTGTATCAGAACACTTCCACGTAAAAGAATAAATTTTGGGAGTAGTATTTCGCTCTTGTTGCTGTATTCCCAAGGATGAGGCATCAGGGAATGCTGATGCCCCTCAGAGAGCTCTGCCCCTGAGAGGCCTGACAGGTGAGTGGCAGGTGGGCAAGAGATGCTAGAGCTCACTGCCCCTCTGCTTTTATGGTTCAGCTCCTCAGTTAAAGAGTTCCCTGCCACAGAAGTGGCTGTTTGGGCCAGTTCCAGCTTTTGTCACTATGGCTGGCTTGAGTTTCCAAGAAAAAAACCTAAAAACCTGACCAACCCACACAAGTGTCTACCCAGGCTTGCCCTCTGTTCCCTTAGCTTGCTGGTCCCACAGGGTGGCTCCTTGTAGCACTTATATTTTCAGCACTTTTAGCTCTTCAGCTGAAGTTGTTAAAGTTGTTCTTTCTGACGCGAGTCTGTTGCTTCCTGGTACTTACAAAAATCCATGTGCAATTGGTATTTCAGCATGCCATGGTTTAGTGAATGATTTCTTCAGAAAAAATATTTTTTTCCTTCAGCTTATGGCATATCACTATCACCTGTGCTCTGTTGGCCACTACACACTCTGTCTCGTGTGCTTCCATTGCTCTGTAAATTTTGAGAAGCTTTGAGTAAAACTTTCACTTGTGAAAGAAAAAGAAACCATTTGTCTTCTTCAATTCATTTGACTGAAACTGTTCAAAGATTAATGAAATGTGAGTGTGTGTCAGGGCTGTGTGACTATGGAGCCACTTCCCAGCAACCATGGGACAAAACATGATGCCTTTGTTGGTCTGAAGCTCTGAAATGGCATCCTGAATGCTGAGCCTGAAGTGCTCAGAAGGCAGTTACTCCAAGCACAAGCTTGGGCTCACTGTATGGTTTCACATCTCTCCTTGCATGAATAAAAGTAAAGGCAAGCCTGTGAGAGGAGAAGTTTTTTAGTTTTGGGTACATCTGTACAGAATTTCCTCGGGAGCTGCAACTTCC